ATAAATTTATAATATCATATAATATTATAATTACACTATTTTGATACCCACAATAATTTTTGTTTCAGCGCTAGCAAAATAACGAAAACCACAAAGAAGAGTTTCTTCGATTTTATTCCAGTCAATTATTAGTATTCAAACATTTGACTTTTGTTTATTTTCAAAATCATCAGTATTTGTCTCTCACTATACCTTTTCAGGTTATAACTCACTTAGAATAATGGTGTAAACAAGGTCATTCGAAATAATTTAATAATTAAAATTTTAAATTTTTATATTGAAAATTTTAAATTCTAATTTTGAAATGGGTGAGAAAGTTGAGAAAGAAAAAACCATTCTTAGTTTGAATTGACGTGAGTATTGATGTACAATTTGTTAAACTTAGTACTTACCTAGCTAAATTCTCAAAAACCTGTACTTAGTCCTAACCTAATATGTACTAGGTAACTTATAGGTATATATTTGTATGTTTAGCTGAGAGGAAGAAGAGGTCTTGAATGAGTTGTTATTTTTGTATATGTTATGCATTTGGCTCAAAATTTGTTATTTATATGAGTTGTTATTGTTATATATGTAATTTGTCTAGTCAAATCTAATTTAACTTTATTTTTATTTTTATATTTTATTATTTTTATTTTTAAAAATTTTTGTTATTATAGATATTAAGTATAATTAGTACAAGTAAAATTTTAATTATACAAATACAAGCAAGAGGTTAGTTAAACAAATTAGATAAAGATGTTGGGTAAACAATTTTGAGCATTTATATTTGTCATTTGATTTAATATTTATGGATATATATATATGTTATTTTCATACTTATTACTTACTCATCTTTTTTTCTAATTTGGATTTAGAACTTACCTAAATGAATAAGATACTTGTAAGTAATGAGTATACTCATATCCAATACTTACCCCTAGTTTGAATCTTGAGATTAATTTGTGAGAGGAGGTTTAGAAAAGGAAGTGTTATAATAATCTATCACCTAATGTACAAAAAAATAATTCGTATAAACAAAAAAAATATAGAAAAAGCAAATCCCAATCCAAATTGTCCAACAACTATTGATACATGCGTGTACTTAATTGTTTCTGTATTTTTTTTTTTTAGTTTTATTTTTTTGTTTAGGATATGTTTTTCATTGGAAGCTCATGAGCCTTTTTGACTTTTTGTAAAATTTGGTTCAAATTTAGCAAAAATTCTACTTAGGAAACAATTGGTTGAACTTTGCCTATTAACTTTTTGAAAGTCTTTTTTTATAAAATCATTTTCAAAGCTCTTAAAAATGGTTCAATTAACTAAAAATTAAAACTCCAACTTAAAAATCTTAAATTCTTAAATTCAAACATATAATTGGGTGAAAAAAAATTTGTTAAAAAAAGACAAATATCACATTTTATATAACTCATCATTTGATATGAAAAAATAAAATCATTTAAAAATTTAACTTAAACAAGTAATAACTAATAAGTATTATATAATAAACCAAAGTCGATCTTCTTCTTTTTTTTTTGACAAAAATAATGGTTAAAAAGTTAGTATGAATTAGTTGTTAGCAATTGGTCATAAGATTGGGTGAACATTCCACCCCCTCAAATGAGGCGCATGACCATCATGTCGTTTTTTAGTGGAATTCACGACGATTGTGGAGTTCGAAACTCCAACCACCTCACCTAAACACTTAAGACTTGAGGTCGAATCATTGGACCTAAGATTCGGTTCAACCAAAGTCAATCTTGATCTTCTTATATTGCTAAAATTTAGGCATCCAACATAATATGATAAAGTGAAGAATATATTCTTAATGCTAGACAAGTAGACATTCCCTCTCAATTCTTTTTCAAGTTTTTATTTGAGAAATTCAACTACTACATTAATGATTACATTAATGATTACATTAATGATTGATAATTGTTATTATTAATAATTCAAACACTTTTATTAATTGAATAATATAAAATTATCAACTACAAATTTCAAATTATATTACCAAATAATCTTTAAATCTTAATTAGAATAAATTGTTTTATCATTTTTTATGAGTGTTGAGGAAAATGAGAAAATTATCCACGTAACTGTCTTGCAAATCCCTGTCTCCAAACAACCCCTTCATCTCCTTAGCCTTGTCTCTGTAAATCTTGCCTTCTTCCTCCACTATCACCAATCTCAGTGACTCTGCCACCGCTTCTCTCCTGAATGACCCATCATTTTCGTTCCTTGGAATCGAATACCCCATCTTCTTCTCCTCGAGAAGTCTAGCGTTCAACCCTTGGTCTGCCAAGAACGTCAGCAGTATAAGCGCTCTCTCGTTCATCAGCGCCTCCACAATAGAGCTCCACCCTGAATGTGTCAAGAACCCACCCACCGAGTCATGACGCAAAATCCTGAGTTGAGGCGCCCAACTCGTGCACACCCAACCACGACCTTTGGTTCGCTCCTCGAACCCTTCTGGTAACTGTATCAACTCCGTATCAGCTAACCCTCGTCGAGTCCTCAGCACCCAGAAGAAGGGTAATCCAGAGAGCTCTAACCCGAGGGCGATCTCGGTGAGTTCTTCTTGACTCGGTTTTGCCTCGCTCCCAAACGCCACGTACACAACAGACCCCTTCTGCTGCTTGTCTAGCCACTTTTTCATCGACTTCCACGACTCGTCATCATCATCTCCGGTACATTCATATTCTTTTGGCGGAAGCAAACCAACCGGAACAACAGGTTTCCGGTGAAGTTCCTCCACTAGAAGTAAATATTCCCGCTCAAATTCCCAGCAGCTTCTTACAAATATAGCATCGCAGCCTCTGAACACTCCATCAACTCGGGCTATATCCGGAATGTGTGATGAATCCACTCCTATTATGCTGTCGAAGACTTTAGTAATCTCAAAAAGCCGGAATGCAACTTGAGAAGAGAACGGGATCCACTTGGGCGGAACCGTAAAATCTGCCGGCGTCTTACGGTCGTCAACGTTAGCAGCAAGTAAGGGAGAAGTGGGATTGAAAACAGACAACGCGGTAGCCATGAATATGCTGAAGAAAGCGTTGGGGATGCCGAGGTTTTGAGCCAAAGGCGGCAACCAGTAAGGAGCGAAGTCGTAAAGAAGCCAATCCGGAGAGGAAGTTTTTAGAAACTCAGTCAGGGGACCCTGAAGGCGGTCATAGGCGAGTTTTAAGTAAGGGACCTTGTCGTAAGGGAGATCGGTGGTGGCCTCTGCATTTTCCGGGAGATATTCTACGTGAGGGAGAGGGAGGTTTACGAAGTTTATGAATGGAGATAGGGTCGGAGGTAGTTTTGGGAGGCGATTAATGTTTCGAGAGGTGGAGATGAAGGAGATTTTGTGCCCCTTTTGAGCTAAGAGTTTGGCGAGTTCTAAGAATGGCATCATGTGACCAAAGGCAAGCCATGGGAACATGGCGATGTGAAGCTTAAGTTGGCCTGCCATGGCTGGACTATGAAAATGAACAACATGTAGGCCTGTATATATAGAAAGTACTGAAAGGTTTTTAACTTCAAGTAGATCTATCATTTTTCAATTTGTTGACTGTAATTTTTTTTTTTCTTTTTTGTTATGTAGAGATTAAGGATTTTAGTGCAGCTTCCCCATTTTCATTTTATTAGAAAATTATATAACAAACAGACCAAACAGCCCGCACATGGTTTTATAGATCGTCGGATAAAAACTGCGCCTACCAATTTTACGAACTGAGTTTAACTTTTTCCCCAATGGCAAGTGAAACGGGAACGGGAAAGCTGCTCTGTCAAACGCGCCGATTCCGTAATGATCTACAACTAATAATATGGCATTTTAAAATAATAATAATAATAATATGGCATATTCATCCCTGACTGTAAGATATTTCGATAAAAATAATATAGCTATAATATTATATAATATTATAAATTTATAATGTAATATATAATTAAATAATTAATATTTATTATTTTTAAAATATATTATAATATTATATATATTTATTTTAAAAAATTATATTTATATAATATTATATAAATATATATATATCAATTTTGATTTTAAAAAATAATTAAAATTTTAATTTTAAATTATGTATTTTATTTAATTAAAATTTAATTTAAAATTTAAAAAATTATTTTATTAAATGTTGATATATTAAAAAATATAATGAGTTTTTAAATTTAAATATTAATATTTAATAAGATAATATTTTAATTTTCATATATAGATTAAAAATTCGATTGTTTTTGAAAATCAAAATTAATACATATTAATTTCATATTATATTATAATTATAAAATTATAATTTTATATAACATTATAATATAATTACACTAATTGCCGATATTGTTTTTGAACAAATTATAATAAACCCTGTCATACTAAGAGAAATAGGAAAAAGGGATCATTAGGTTCGAACTTCCAACTCAGAAGTATGTTCCCACTGAAGCCAAGCGAAAATTCACTCGGCCCATGCGTGTGAAACCATTAATTGTTGATATTTGAAAACGAAGTGCCACCGACATGACATGATTTCATTTTTTGGGGTAGAAAGTAGAAACGGCGACCGAGAAGGTGTTAGTGACGTTAAAATTCGACCAATAAATTAAAATATTTTAAAATTTAAAAGTGAATCATTAAATTTAAATTTTTGGTTCGGTATTATATTATTTTAAAAATAATATAATTAAAATATTATATAATATTAATATTATAAATTTATAATTTTAATATTTTATTAAATAATTAAGTAAAAATAAAAAAATGTATCTCAGTCCCATGATTGAAATTCGAATTCCCCTCCCCAGAACTTGCAATCTGTTTAAAAACAACTAATAATAATGAAGTGAAAATGTATATACATCCAGTCATATCATTGCTGTGAAGATTTCACAAGTTAACAAAACAAAAGGCTGGGCCGGTTTCAGGCGGGTCCAGTTGGAACTTGAAACCGGCTTGTTTGCCAAGTGTAAAATTACTTCTGAAATACGGAAGATGATTGTGTGATAATTTTTTTATAATTATATATATTATTTAATTATTAATATTTTATTTTATTAAAATTTATAATATTGTATATATTTATTTAATATATAAAAATTATTTTAAAATAATTATCACCGTGTCATTTCCTAAAGTTAAAATGTGGCATGCAGCGTGCTTGAATCTTCCACGGTCTACTTTCGACATTTTAGCCATTTAGGTTTGTGGCGGGTTCCTTGCAGCATTGTTAACCATTTAGGTTTTGAAGAAGCAAGGTACTCGCCCATCTTGCAAGCATGGTTAACTCTCCCGTCAAGGGATCCCGGATTGCCATCCAAAACAACTGCTGCTTAAAAAAGTCAGAGGCATTAAAAGTATTGTTTTGTATAATAGTGTAAGTTAGCAGTTAAAGATTTTGTCTAATTTAATAAATAATTATTATTATTAATATTTTAAATATTTTTATTTATTAAATTAGATAAAATCACAACTGTTAATTTTACACCATTATAACCATAATAAAATAAAATTACTTCAGCTAACTATATAAGTGTGCATTTGATATTGTGGTTAGAAGTATTTTCTTGTAATCATACAATATTTTTAAACATGTGTATTTGATAATTTTTTTCAAATTACTTTTTTTAAAAAAATTATAATAAGTCATAGTAAATTTACAATAATTTTATCCATAAAATCAAAATTTTCATTTGAAAACTTTTTAATTGTAACTTTTATAAAAAAAACACATAATATTTAATATAATTATAAAATTACTAATTAGAACCCAACCTCATATAATTCAATTACATCTTAAATTATAATATTTTAATAATTATAACAAATATAAAAAACCTAAATTATTAAGAAGTAGTAAATATTATTTATTTTAATAATTATATATCTTATAATATTTTTAAAATTTTAATTAATAATTAATAAAATCTACCATATTTTTGTTCACCACAATTACAACACAACACAATTCAATAATCATAATCATAACTGTAACTACAACACTTTACAATAACATCAAACGCACCGTCAAACGCACCATAAAACTCTTTTATGAACGTAACCGTGGTTTAATTGTGACATGTATATTTTGTCAAAGTTGTAACCACCCCTTCCCCTCAAATACCTAATGTTTCCAAAAATAAAAAAATTCTTAGAACGAAGGCATAACAACTATTAGACTAACAAAATAATTGAAGTTCCTCTAATCAACAAAAAAATTAACTACATTTGATTTTCAAGTTGGTGAAATTAATTATTACATTCCTTGAGCAAAAGCTTTTCCTTGCAATCAGACTATACATATTACATGCATGATTTTAAATCAGCAATCCATACAAAAATACCACATATCATCTTTCTAACATCTGGAAACAGCAAGTATTACAGTGAAGCAAACAAAGGTCAAAATAACCTGTGCAGATAAAAAACCTTGCCAATGAATTTGTAGTTGTTAGAGGCAACAATTCCTTCACCTTTTGCTTAAGAGTTGCTCAGGAATAAATACTTGCAATCCAATTACTTCCTTGGTGGGGAAGTCAGCCTATTTTCCTCTGAATCATGCTTTAAGGTAGCATCCCCACCCATCAATTCCTGAAAACCTTCAACCTTCACTGGTGGAGCCCTAACAATGCCCATGCCCATATTTCTGCATGCAAACAGATGCTTCATAATTCACCAAAATATTGCTTATAAGTTTTAACAAATTCCAAGTGTTGGACGAAAGATGAATATAAGTGGAATTCATTCTAATTGTTGAGTTGTTCTTACGGTGATCGCATCTGAGAAATTTGCGGAGACACCAGCTGCCTAAACTGATTGCTGGATTGAGGTTGCAGATTTGACACTGCAGAGAATTGCTGGTGCCGTAACTGCATCGGTGGGTGTTTGATACTCATAGGGTTAAAGGCATTGCCTTCTAATGGCAGATCTGATGGCTGTTCAATCTTAACTTGCACCAGCAGTCGCTCCTTATCCATATCCGGGCGAGGAGTGGCTGCCTGGCGCCTACGCAACTGCAACTGCTGCTGCTGCTGTTGAAAAACCAAATTTTGTGGATTAACCATCGGCTGCATCTGTGGATGCATCTGTCTTGGGATCTGTAGGTTCGTCAGAAATTTTTTTGGAGTTAGGTTTTTGTCTAAATGCCAAAAAATAGGAATATAATGCTGGAGTGAGACTAAAAATGGGAAAATGTCTCCTCAAATCTCAGCCATAAGGCCCATAACACAAAAAATGAACACATTCAACCCAGCTTATAAGTTGTAATCTCCTAAATTCTACTGAATTACTGATATTTAAAAAGAAATGAAACTAAAGTGTGATGTAAACCTCAGAAGTAAATCCTGACACTGGAAAACCCTGAGTGCCATGAAAACATAAAAAGAATATGCCTGACCAGACGTCAAAAGAAATCATTTTCTTTCAAGGAAATAGAAATACCCTAAGGGAAACTAAAAGGGAAGAAAAGAAAACGAAACTATACATACTTGCTGAGCCATTCGAAGAGAACCCTGTTGCTGTGACTGCAACTGTGACTGCATACTGTGTAGTTGCTGCTGAGTTTGTTGCACTACGTTCTGGGTACTGTCCTTGACAAGCTCCGCTAAAGGCCCAAAATTACTGTGACAAAAAAAATACATTAAATAAAAACAAGGAAATATGTTAGACAAGGAAAGCATTTCTAATTGAAAATAAGAGGCCTAATGTTATCCTTTTTCATAGCAAGAACTTTCCCTTTATAATCTATAATTACATGCATGGACAAACAAAGAAGTTCATGTAATTGTTGGGAATATTGCTGCCTTAAAATGCCTATCTCTCCAGAAAATAACAGAGATGAGTACTAACAGTGCATAAAGGCTTTTAAAAACCAAGAACAGGGGGATTCACTTCCAAACATTAACAATGCATCAATGCTTGATCAATAAGTAGTGCATAACCGATTAATTTTCTCCCTTTGTATCCATACAAACTTTAATAGTAAGTTTGAACATGATAGAAGTTAGAAGTAGAGCCGTAAAATAAATTAAACTGCGTTACAAACTCACCTATATCCTGCTGTATGAAGGAACATTTTTATCAGTTCAATGGCTGAGCACTGCTTTCTGTAACTATCAGCAAGAACTTTCAAGTTATGACCCAGTTTACAAATGTGACAGCTGAACAACTGAGAGAATACTTCCAATGGAACTTCAGTGGCACCTTCAAATCCAATACCAACCAGCATGCGAGCTATGACCTTGCGAGATGATTGAGATGCATGCTCCTGACCTAGGAGCCTTCTATTTTTCCCACGATGTACGTTTCCTCCTCGTTCCATGCCCAGGTACTCAGGTCTTATACCAAGCCTCTCAATCATAACAGGACTCCTCGTTGTAACTGGTGGTAGGGTGTCAAGCACTCCATGGAACTCAACTTTCAGGCTATCTTGTCCTCTATTTATTGGCGGCAGTGCACTATCAGGCACACAGTTCATCATAGACATTGTCTCAGGGAAAAAGAGCACATCATCATCAGCTAAGCTATTGCCTGCGGATACAGAATTCAGATGCATGTTTGATGTATTCTCTGGAAATGCTACAAGCCTTCTCTTATGCTTCTCAACAACTCTAATATATGCAGACATCTCCTCAGGGGTACGTTTTTCAAACTCTCGATCCCCAAAAGACAACTTATAAGGTCTCCTAAGCCTATACTTCTCCATAAACTGATTATACCAAGTTTCCGGCAGCTCCTCATTTCCAAATCTGTGGGATAAACTATCAAATTCAGACCCACAGTATCTTGTTCCAGCACTAAAACTCGATTTAGACTGATTCTGCACAACCATTCAATGGTGTCAAACAGCCACCCAATTAAAAACAGAAAATGTGAAGTAATAACAAAAGTAACTACTTATCACTAATTGTAAATTGTGACAGCAAATTGTATCTCAAATTACCCAACAAATAACAATCCAGATATCCAATTCCAATTTAAAAAGACTCATACTCATCCGAATGCAGGTGAAAAAGACACTCAAATCGCGTTAATATGCAAAAGTAAGTGCAATAAAACTGCAATTGCATTCAGAAACAAAAAAAAAATTATACACAATGTTTCTGAGTCCTTCTAAACGAAAATAACAGTTCAATACAGGTATAACGGAAACGACATCATATCAGACCTTCGCTGTGCTGGATGCAACACCTGCATCCTGTGACGTTCCGTCTAAAGTGAAGTAGATATCGTCGCCGTGCAACTGCAAATCTAATAAATAGGAATCGTATGTAAATTTGCTCCGTCACTATATATGTGAGTCAGTAAATTATTTGAAAAAAGTTGAGGGACTCACAGCTCGGATTGAGTTTTGAAACGGCAAGCGATGAATTAGTGCAATTGGATCTGAGGAAGAGAGAGACGGTGGCTTTGTCGAACAAGAGAGCGCGAACTCGGAGCTGGAGTTGGATCTGAGCCCTAGACTTGGAGTCGTCGACTCGCATAAAGGACTCCCATGAAGCAGGTGAGGAGAGGAGAGGGACGAAGCTGTTGTAGATGGAGTCGCCGAGCCAGGGGCGCCAGACGCCGCAGGCTTCAAGTTTCCGGGCTAGCTCGAAGCCGCGTCCGTCGTCGCCGAGCAGTGCCATTTTCGGGAAGGAAAGACACCGGAGACGATAATCGGTCTGAATCTGAACTCTGAAATTTTCCTAGGGAAAACTGGATCTGGGCTTATAGAAGTGCCCATATTAATTGCTAATGGGCCGGCCTCAATTTTAATCTTTTCTGGCAAAAAGGTCAAAAAAAATTTCGCGCCAGGTAGGGGTCGAACCTACGGCCTTCTGCTTAGGAAACAGACGCTCTATCCACTGAGCTACAGGCGCTTATTGTTAGCGCATTTGACATCTTAAACTTAGCGTTTCTTTGGGAAAGTTTCTAAAGTAGCCAGATTTAACCAAAATTTCCATATGAAAAATGGACTTAAATTTCTTCATAAAATAAGCTTCCCAAAAAGGGAAATGTTTTACCAACGAGGGATTGGATCAAGTGACAAGCGATTTGTTCCAGCTTAAATAAAGTCTCAAGTTCGAAACCTTGTGTACGCAGCAGCCTTCGTTGGGATACCTACCCATCATTCTGGTGCGCCACAGCTGGTCGAGTCTGGAGTAGTTGGGGTAAAGCCCCGGATACCGAGCGGAAAAAAAAAAAAAATCTTTCTTTAACCTTCAAGAGTGTCTCATCCTACTCTTGTATGCAACTTGAAATTAATTCTTCTATAATCTAGTTAAGGACAATAAATTATCTACCATCTGTTGGCACAAGCTTGGTGCTTGTGCCTATACACACATATCGAGTTTCGTCCTTTTTTAATTTTTAATAAGAAAAAAAAATTAGAACGTATAATATTTAAAATATTATAATTATATGTGAAATTATTTAAATATGCTTAATAAATATTTATTATATGTTAATTTATTAAGAATACTTAAATTTTTTTATTATCATTTTTAGTATTTTAATTGTCCAACATATTGATTTTTGTAATCACTTTTAACAATGAAAGAAAGAATTCAAGTTCTTTACATGATTATATTTGGTTTAATTGTTATGGACAATTAATAGTTATAACTGTTAATAAATAATTAATAAAACAACTAATCAATTTGAAATCAATATGATGTTTTCTCACATTCAACTAGTTGTTTAAGTTAAAAAAACTATAAACTAATAAAATTAATGTAACATGGAAACAAGTGCCATGATAAACCAAAAATTATACAAATAAGCAATGTAACTTTAAAAGTTTACTAATGAGGGATTTAAACCTTTTTTGTCCCTAATTAAAAATAACTTTTTAAATTTGCTATTTAGGACTCAAACTCACCAATTTTACCATAGAAAGCTCTGTTGGATGAATTGTTAATGTGAGATTCTTAAATCCATTAAAGTGAGCCACATTAAGTGTTGACTTGTTAAAAGCTACTTTTGTCATTGATGATATGAACAAAAATCTTGACCTTATTGAGTTCATCGTGAGTTTCATACCAATAATAATTTTTCATTTTTTAAACATTTTAAAATTTTTTTTGTCCATGTCATCAATAATTAAACAAATTTTTTGACACTTTAACAACTAATGTGGGCTACTTTAATAGAACTATGATGCTCACATTTACATTTCATCTAAGAAAGCCTTATATAGTAAAATTACTGTGTTTAAGACACTGAATAGGAAAACTGAAAAGTTGATATACTTGATTAGAAACAAAAAAGTTTTAATCTTTATTTAATGAACACTTAAAAGTTAGAGTCCTTATTCATGCTATTTCTAATACCATAATGGGCTGGGCCATTCATCTCATTTCTCCTACGATAATGGGCTGGGCCATTCATCTCGTACCGTGAACGCCACTGCGACGACGAGCGAGAGCCACTCCGTTCTCAGATCTCCCACGTTGCAGAAAATCTTCCATTTTTATCCTCTGTTTCGCGCGCACCCAAAACCTCCAAAAGGAAAATAAAATTTTCTGTCCAAGTCCTGAACTCTGATACTGGTAGACACCAGAAGCTACGATTGCACTGACACAAAACCCTAGCATTTGCCTAGATCCTGATCCAGAGAATGGAATCCCCGCAAGGAGGATCCGGCCGGGACAAGTCTAATCCGTCCTCTTCTCCGGTCTCCGTCGTCTCCAATTTCTGGAAAGGTATCGGAATTCTTCTTTCAGTTAAGATCACCGCTGGTTGCCGAACTGAATTTACTGATTTTCTCCACTCCAATGGATCATACTCAGCTTTGACACATTCTCTCATTTCTATGTTACATTGCTAACAGAATAAGGTTCTTGATGTTCTTATGCGAATGTTTCGTCTTCTTCTTCTTCTTGCAGAATTTGATTTGGAAAAGGAGAAAAGTGTACTCGATGAGCAAGGGCTCAGAATAGCTGAAAATCAGGAAAACAGCCAGAAGAACCGGCGGAAGCTTGCCGAGAGCACGAGAGGTATGGTCGATTCTGGTTATCTTCTGACAATCAGATTTAACTTTGATGCGTGCTTTGGAGAGGACATGTCTTTTATGTGTTGATTGCTGACAAATTTTTTATTAAGTAAATGTGGTTTTCGAGTTTATAATTTGTTCTCTCCACAGATTTCAAGAAAGCTTCTCCAGAGGAAAAGTTAAGTTTGTTTAATTCTCTACTTAAGGGTTACCAGGAAGAAGTTGATAATCTTACCAAGAGAGCAAAATTTGGAGAGAATGCTTTTCTTAACATCTACCAAAAGCTCTATGAGGCTCCAGATCCTTATCCTGCTATTGCTTCAATTGCTGTGAGTATTTGCTTAATGCATCTGGTGGGCTATGTGAATAGATGCTATTGACATTGGAGTTTGATTACTGTTAATTTTTGAATTCCATAAATTACATGCCACATCTGACTTGAATATCATGTTTTTCGAATGAACTTTCTTTAATATTGAGAGATTAAGTGTTTGTAAGTATGAGATGTGATGGTAACTTCAAATTCAGACTGAGCCCTTGTCTGATAATCAGGTAAAAGAGTTGTTGCATGTGAGGTGTAAAAAGGGTATTGGTTTTCGTTATTGAGATTTTGATCTTATATATCCCCACCCTGATATGCATCTTGGTAGGTGTTCCTAGCATTCAATCTTTTTTTCCGTAATACATTAAGGTGAAGGTTAGATTGCTTCAAACTTTTATCCAAAAGCATAGGCCATTAGTCTTGCAGCATTATAGGTAGTTTTATGCTGCATGAGGCCATTGGTTTAATGTAAGCTGAAGCTGAAACAAAGCTTTTAACACGAAATTTTTATGTGCTATGTGCTAGTCTTTTTTTTCTTTGTTGGCAAGTCTCTTTTGATCAAGAATTAATGAACTTTAAGCTCCCTGCAGGACCAAGATTTAAAGTTGTCTGAACTAGAATCAGAAAACCGCAAGATGAAAATTGAGCTTGAAGAATTCAGGACAGAAGCAATGCACTTAAAAAACCAGCAGGCAACAATAAGAAGACTTGAGGAGCGCAACCGCCAATTAGAGCTGCAGGTTTGTGATGCTTGGCTTACTTTGCCTACTTATTAAAACTTTTGTTGTGCTTGGACATAATTCTGATGTTCCTTATGTTGAATATATGACATGGTCCCAACACTACATGGTGGGATTTTTGTTTACAAAAATTTTGAGTATATAGATGTGTTGCATTTGCTACTGATCTTTAGGTATGAAATCTTAATTATTAATTTTATTTCACACCTATTTAGTTTGAGACTTGATGTGACCAAATATTCAAGTTAGGCCTTTCCACCTATATGACTATCGGTTTTAGATTAGATGGCTTGACATGATATCAAAGTCTGTTGTGAAATAAATCCATATGTGTGATAAGCTTTTGCTAAGTGATAATTGTATCAACATTGATTTGGTTTGAGATTTCTTGTGATAATATATCCAAGATATGGCCTCTGTAGCTATTGCCAATTGGTTTAAGGTTGGATGCCTTGACAGAAAAATATGAGGCTTTCAAATCACCATATTGGCATAAGAGGTGAATACATGGAAGGTGACTAGAACTAAAAGCACTACTTTGTTTCAAACACCAATTTCTTGCTACCATGCTGAAGATTATTATAAGGAAGAATCCATAACCACCTATTAGCTGTCGTTAGTCATCCATGTCTTTTTTCGCCATCTAAGCTATGAATGCCTGGTTTTCTATCCATTGCAATTGACATAAAGATGAATATGATGACTTTATCCCTTTTTCATCTCATCAATTAATTATGCTGGAATCATTCATTCAGATGGAAGAAAAAGTGAAAGAAATTGTGGAGATGAAGCAGCGAAGTTTGGCAGAAGAAAACCAGAAAACACTTGAGGTTTTAAAAGAAAGGTACTTTCTGGTCTGAGGTGAGGAACCGTTGGCATAATTTTGAATATGTAATTATGTACCCTATTTTTCTTTTGATTGTACTGAAAGAACCATAATATTTTAGTGAGAATCATATTAGAAAGATTTGCCCTTATGTGTAAAAATAATTTGCTTCAGAATTCCTAGTTTAATAGATGTCTCTAAGTTGTTGCTTTATTGCCACTTATTTCTCTTATATAGTTATATAAGTGATGCATGGCTTCTTTATTCCCCTGCAGGGAGCAAATTTTGCAAGATCAGTTACGACAAACTAAAGAAAGTGTTGCAAATATGCAAAAATTGCATGAACTTGCACAAAGCCAGTTGTTTGAAGTCCGTGCTCAATCAGGTGACACAGAAGCCTTAGTATCTTATTTCCCTTTGTAAATTGATTTATCAATTTTCAAAATATTCTTTTTATGTTGTTTCTTAATCACTGCAAGAAGTGCACATCCCCTAATATTCTTGTAAAACAATAACAGAGGAAGAAAGGGCTGCGAAACAATCAGAGGTCAATCTTCTGATGGATGAAGTAGAACGTGCTCAAACTCGGCTTCTTAGTCTGGAGAGAGAGAAGGTGAATAAAATATATCTGCTGATATGTTGAAGTTTTCATTTTTTCTTTATCATTACTATTATTATTTTTTTCTTTGTGTGTGTGTGTGTGTGTGTGTGTGTGTTTGTGTGTCTAGACTTGCACTTTGAAAGAAGAAAGGACCTAGGAGATCATGGTTGTAAGTGGTGGTTAACATTGAACTGTAACTGTAAAATGCTAACAGGGGATCATAATTGTCCATTTTTGGGAAAATCTGCCACTCACAAATGTTGATCCCAGATGCTAAACATTGAATTATTTAAGAAACTCAGTTTCTTTTCTACAATGATGCATTAAAATTATACAAGTTGAGATTTTTTAGCAGCTTCATACATCATGCAGCCGAACTCCTTGCTTTGCTTAAATTCATGATTTGATCATACCTATTTCTAATGTATCCCTGCACTTAGTGTGATAGATATGCAGATTTTTCTTACAATATAAGGTCTATAGCTTGTGCTTCTAGCATATTCCAAGCAACAGATTAAACTGGAGCATATTGAGTTTTAGAAAAATTCTTTAGGAAGTAAACTCTTTCAGGTTCAGTCTTCCCTCATTTTAATTGGATGTGTATGCAGGGGCTTCTACGCTCTCAATTACAATCAGCTAATGAAGAGACTGAAAACAATAGAAGGTAATTCATCACATACGGCTGTACAAAACTTGTGCAAAACTACAGTTTCATTTTACCTTCATGTAGCTAGTCTGTGTTGTCAGTAGCAAATTTATGTAGTATTTCTGGTTTTTGTATTATATGCTTGCACTTATAATCACTTTCTTTTTTGGGCAGTGATAATGTAGATTCAAATAGTATCCTTGAGAATTCTCTAATAGCCAAAGAGAAAATTATCTCTGAACTGAACATGGAACTTCATAATGTTGAAACAACCTTGTCCAATGAACGGGAACAGCATGTGAGTGAGATTAAGAAGTTGAACTCAGTGCTCAATGAAAAGGTACGACAGCTTACCATCCTTTTTATAGTTCAGTGTCTGCCAATAAACTTTGAAGATAAGTTTAACCATTTGCAGTCTATTTTTTTGGGCCTTTTTTTTTTTTTTTTTTTTTTTTTTTTTGTTTTTTTTTAAGTTCTGCTATATGTACAGCATGAATGAATTTTAATTTCGATCACTGCTGTAAAAAGTGCGCCTAGGCGCCGCGTAGTAGTTGGGCGATGGCTTTCTGCATCGCATCGGCCTCTAGTTGGTGGTTCTGTGCGGTTTGAACCTCCTAACTGGATTAAGCATGTCTAACAGCGCCTGGGCAATTTTTTTTGTTTTTTGCAAATTAATGAAATGACGTCGTTTTCTTTGTTTAAAAAAATATTATAAAAAAATGACCTAAATTCCTATTTATATCCATTTCCATTTGCCTGCTTCTAGCCTTTCACTGTGCCTTCTTCCCACTTCCTTCTCTGAGACGATGAGACCCTTCATTTTCCATTTCCAAACCCAAATCCACTTTGATTTTTCTATGCATATAAACACAAAACAACACTCAAATAGCAATTTAGTTCTTTTTTTTTTTTTTCGTTTTGTCTTCCTTTTTTTCCCCATAGTGAAGTTGATCATGTTCTAATATCAAGGCTCTAGTCCTCTGTTATACTTTACCTCCAAATTGCTTTGTTTCCAAAATTTGAGCACATCTTTGAGTTCCTAATTTGGGTTCAAGGTATGTTGATCTTATAATTTCATGGAAAACTTTGAACTTTCATTTTCAGAACTGAAAATTTTGTTTTATTATTGTATTCTTGATTTCTTGTTAAAATTTATATTCAACGGCAAATGAATTTTAAAATTTATCTCATTTCCCCCCTTATTTTCTTATTATTATATAAAAAACTTATTAAAAAAAAAACCCACCTAGACTGCCTAGGCACTCTAGGCGCTAGGCTATGGGCAACCGCCCACCATCGCCTAGCGCTTTTTACAACCTTGATTTCAATGCATTTTAACAGCTTCTTTTAGACAAATTTCTGATCCCATCTAATGCTCTGGCAAAGTTGGAAGATAAATATTCTATAGGAGTTTTAAGGACATTGTTGTGCTAAAAGAGGATTTTAAGGTTAGATAATGATTGGTGACTAATTAAACAGAAACTTACTGAAATGTTTTCCAGGAAAAAAAAAGGATTTACAGATGTTATGCTTGTTGATGGTCATAGATTTTTAAATTGTATATTTTTTATTTTTTTAATCATTTATGTTGTTTTTGAGGTCAATCTTGAAATAATTTTAGCTATGAATTTGATGAGATTTTTTAATTCTCTGATATTCTTGTAGCCGACATTACCCTAAAGATGGGATTTTAGCAATGAACAATGTATTTGAAAGGTGGATCTCTTTAAACATGCCTCTGCTGCTAAATTTTGAAACTTCTGTGACTGCAAGGTTCCTTTAAATTGGTATTCTGCATGGAAGCAGGATTTGCCTAATTTTAAATGTGCAAATGAATTTTATGAAAACATTTTTTTTTCCTTATTGAAAAGCTTTTAACTTATTTGATTGAAAGGGTTTTCACGGTTTGAGCTTAAGAACTCTATTGGAGATATGGGGACTGAAATAGCAACCTTTATGAAGAGTGTGAGAGTCTTAGTGTATAAACTTTTAAAGAGTTCTTCTTATACCATATTACCAATACAATTTTTATTTGCTATGATGTATTCTAGTTGGCATTATCTTCGAACTTAAAGTCTGTGGGTGCATTGCTGCCTACTAAATTTCTTTTTCCTTGGAAAGAGGATAGGAAAAGATTACTTGCTTATATTTTGCTTTTCCTGTCTCCTTTATTGAACCAGGAAATTGCTATTGAGGAGATGAAGAAAGAGCTTCAGGCAAGGCCAACAGAAAAACTGGTTGATGATTTACGTAAAAAAGTGAAAGTTTTGCAGGTAGAACCACACTTCCCTGTTTCAAGGGCAGTTAACTTTATGTTTTTAATAAATTTGTTCAAGTTTTCCAAACCTAGTGTTATCAACACTAATAATTTTCTCATATTTTTTTTGAACTCAAACCTTGCATCTCTCTTTCTCTCTCTCACCTAGCATATTTTGGGTAACATTTTTCACTGATGTATGTTTAGGCAGTGGGTTATAATTCAATTGAGGCTGAAGATTGGGAAGCAGCTACCAGTGGGGAAGAGATGAGCAAAATGGAGTCTCTTCTTCTTGATAAAAACAGAAAAATGGAACATGAACTCACACAGTTGAAGGTATGGAATCTGCCTGATGCTTGGCATTTTCTGAATGGAATTAGATATTAGTGCTTTTAATATGTTTTAATTTTATATGCTAGTTTTGATTGTAAACTTTTGTTCTTGTCTTTTAGGTCAAACTTTCTGAAAAAACAGCTTTGCTGGAAACAGCTGAGTCTAAAATTCAAGAACTTACAGCAAAGGTTAATGAACAACAAAAATTGATACAGAAGTTGGAAGATGATATTTTGAAGGTTTGGATCAGATGCTTCTGCATGTCTGGAAAAGACTTTAAATAGCATTGTTTTATTGATTTAGCAATGTTTCCCTTTTTATTTGGACCTGGTTAACATAAGATTTGTGACTCTATGATCTATTGGTTCAATTGAGACAATGATCATGAAGTTGACACTACTCTTTTATCTTAAATATGTCTCATTAAGTACAGGATGCACAAACAGGTTCCTTCTCCGTCTAACAATGTTTCATTTCATCTTTTTCTCGTGTCTCTTTCCTCTTCTAATGCAGGGTTATAGTTCCAAAGATCGGAAAGGCACCCTTTTTGATGATTGGGATTTAACAGAGAGTGGGGGAACTCAAGTTTCTGAGGTACACTTCCTCTATCTTGAAAGTTATCAAGTATAAATTCTCTGAAGCAGAATTTGACATGCAGTTTGTAGTTTTGTCCTTGACTTGGAATTACAATCTTGAGATAATTCAATACCTTCGAAGCTGTGATTTATTATTTGCTATTGGATTGATGTTTTCTTTTAGCTGCTCATTTCTCT